TACTCTTCAACCTTGCTTCAATCCTGAAGGCGGAGGCGATATTTTCCTCCGAAACGTCTGGCCTTTTCCGAACTACAGAGCATTACGATGGAGAAGTTTTCATAGTCATTTTTATGTTCAAAACGGTGCTAGTGGGGTACCTTCTTTAGCAATTAAATTTTTCATAGACTGAGCCGTTGGTGACTACTGCAAGCGCTGCAAGTGTCTTATGCCGTCAATATATACATATATACCACATATACAACCAATACCGTCGTACCGTAATTGGCACAGAAGAATGAGAGTAGAGATCTATCCACACGTTTGCATGGTTTGCTCAGTTCAAGTAACTCCTAGATTACGGTTATGTGTCGCTATTGGATGTTTAGTAATCCGTGGTCGTTTCACCGTTGTTCCCTAATAGCTTCTTTATTTATCTATGACCAATAGCTGTGATCTTTGCATAATGAGCGATAATGAGGTATTTCTTGTAGTTCTTGTAACTGTTTGTCATTTGCTGCTGTTCATTGCAGGCGCTTGTAGGCGAGTGTGTAGAGCGGTGTATAGTGGGTTGCGTCGTTTCAATGCAGTTGTTGAGAATTATTTTAAGACGATGGAAAGTTTGTCTATGAACTACAATAGAATTTCTTGGCCTTGAAGATACAACGGCTTTGGAGTCTGTTTAGTCATTCATCATGAAAGGAAACAGTAAGTGTTCTGTTATTATGTATATAGAAAAATTGTTATCGCCTATGGTCGCCTTATCTGTTGACTTTTTTGAGGCCTGGCCGCTGATTTCTCATAAGCCAGTGAAATGCGTGTTCTGTGAACCTGTTCAAGTTTATCGCAGCAAGTTTCAAAATTAAATGTTATTTGCGCTCGGACCAACTTTTCATGCATTCATATTGAAGTATTAAGTGAACGACCACATTTCTCTTGATGTGTAGGAGGAAACACCGCTCTTCTAGTCCAAGCATTTTAGTGCTTTTAATATCATCCACACTTCCTGGAACTGTTTATTATTTCACATAACACTAGTTGGTAACCTTCATTTCCATAATGTAAAACGATATAAAGAATGGATTCGGGACCAGGAAAGCGATGTAGTTTGTTTTTCACCCGTAGGACGGCGCATTCAGGCCCCGGAATTTCAGTTTCATCTGGGGACAAGTATTTTGAAATTTTGTATTGTAAAATTTAGTGTCATCGAACCAGCAGGCGAATATATATTTTCCTATGGAATGGGGAATGAAAATCATGAATTAGGAATAGGATTTTTCATACATAACAGAATCATATAAGCAGTTAAGGGGATAGAGTTTGTTAGTGATAGAATATCATATATATAATACTAAGAGGTCATTGATGTGATATCATAATTATGAATGTTTATGCCCCAACAGAAAATAAAATTGATGACATAAAGGACAGGTTCTATGAAGTACTAGATTTCAATGCCAAATTAGGGAAGGAATACATTTTCAAACCAACGATTGGGAATGAGAGTTTGCATGAAATTAGTAATGATAATGGAGTTAGAGTAGTAAACTTCGCCACATCAAAAAATCTTACTGTCAATAAGTACAATGTTCCCACATCGTAACATCCATAAATTTACTTGGGTATCTCTTGATGGGAAGATACACAATAAAATCAACAATATTTTGATAGATAAAAAGCGGAATTCAAGTATACTTGATGTCCAATCATTCAGGGCAGCAGATTGTGATACTGACCACTACCTGGTGGTGGCAAAGGTTAGGGAAAGACTGGCAGTGAGCAAACAAACAATGCACAGAATTTATATGGAGAGGTTCAATCTCAAGAAATTAAATGAGGTGGAGGGTAAAGAGCAGTATTGTGTTGAAATCTCAAATAGGTTTGTGGCCTTGGAAAACTTGGACACTGAGGTGGATGTTAATAAAGCTTGCAAAACTATTAGAGACAATATCAGAATTTCTGCCAAGGAGAGTCTAGGTTGTTATGAACTGAAGAAGCATAAGCTATGCTTCGATGAAGGATGCTCAGAATTATTAGACCAAAGAAAAAGTAAGGAGGTTGGTCTAGGAGTAAAGACAGAGAAAACTAAGTATATGTTGATGTCTTGTTACCAAAATGCAGGGCAAAATCATGCCATAATGATAGGAAACAGATGTTTTGAAAATGTGGCACAGTTCAGACATTTGGGAACGATAACAAATCAAAGCCTGATTCAGAAGGAAATTAAGAGGAGACTGAACTCGGGTAATGCTTGCTACCATTTGGTCCAGAAAAATTCATGAAATAATGATAGGAAACAGATGTTTTGAAAATGTGGCACAGTTCAGACATTTGGGAACGATAACAAATCAAAGCCTGATTCAGAAGGAAATTAAGAGGAGACTGAACTCGGGTAATGCTTGCTACCATTTGGTCCAGAACCTTTTATCTTCTCATCTGCTGTCTAGAAACATAAAAATTAGAGTATACAATGTATGTATATTAACCGACTTTTAGTGCATACAATTTCACTTGTCACTTCACACTACATGTTTCGGCATCATTCTGCCATTCTCAGGTGTATTAATCATGTTAAACCATTGCACTGCCTGCCATCAAGTGGCCATGTATAAAATGATATAAAATCTGTGTTCATCGTTGCTCAATAATAAAATTTATATATTAAAACTTGTTAAGATCTATCATCTTACATGACGTATATCAAACTCATGTGTAATGCCATTCATCCGCTATGGGAGTCGTCGTTCTTATGTTTTAATTGTCCAGCAATACACGGCATGCAGCCACATAAGAAAGACACATAATAAGACACAGTATAACTTGTACTTTTCTCCAAGCATAATTAGAATAATCAAGTTAAGAAGGATGAGGTGGACAGGGCATGTAGCATGAATGGGAGCGACAAGGAATGCACATAGGATATAGGTGGGAAAGCCAGAAGGAAATATATCACTGGGAAGACGAAGGCGTGGATGGGTGGACAATATTAAAATGGATCTTAGAGAGATAGGATGGTATGAATTGAATTGATCTGGCTCAGGATAGGGACCATTGCAGGGGCTCTTGTGAACATGGTAATGAACCTTTGGGTTCCATAAAATGCTGGGAAATTCTTGAGTAGCTGCAGAATTGGTGGTTCCTCCTGAAGGGCTCAGCTCCATGGGTAAGTAAGTAAGTAAGCAAGCAAGTACTATGCTTTATCCTTGGGAAAGTTGAAGAACTGTAATTTTTTCTGCCTTCTGGATTACAAATACAATACAAAAATTATAATACCATCACAGTACCCCTAGAGTTTCTTGACATTCTACTTACAAACTTCGGAGTAAACTGAAAGATGCAGAACATATAACACAAAGATGTTTTGGATACAATTTCATCATAATTGCAAGACTTTCTGGCATATTTATTTGTAATTTCATTCGATGTAGTAAATAATCATATATATAAAAGATTACAGAACTACATGATCGACCTAATTGGCCAGAAACCTTAGAAGTTGAACAGGAAGAAGAAGTAGATACAGACCAGAAAGAACCATATATTTTCAAAGTGAGGTGGAAAAAGCTATCAAGGAAATGAGGAAGGGAAAGGCTACAGGAGATGATGATGTACCTGGAGATGTGCTCAAGTTACTGGGAGAAGGTGGTTTGAAAACACTGACAAAACTAATGAA